AGAATTTGACTAGAATTGTCACGAAAATTGCCGAGTGCTGCCGAAGGCGTCCGTAGTATGCTAATACATGGTAATCCTCACTGCGCTAAGAGGAAAACTGTCCTCCTTGATCCGTTCGGCAAATAAACTCCCTGATCTATGTACAAACAGCGGCGACCATCCTGGTACCTCTGATCTAAGCTTGGCTGTGACTCCTTTTTTTACCTCCATGAACATACCATAACAAATATTTGCATCATCAAAAATGCACTGGAAATATCACACTAAGTGCACCATCTCATCTGATTAGGAAACAGAACTGTGATTTTGTTTGTCAGCTGTGACATAGGAAAGCTTTTTTAGGATGACTAAAGGACAATAAATGAATGACAATGAATCAAACAAATTTTCAATCTAAAATTGTACTTCTGTAACTTCAAGGGAGTTGTTTCAGTCATTAATCATTATTTGGATCATCCAAATCACTGTATAGAATATAGAATTATCAGCTGGGTTTTATTCTTACATGTCTGTATCTTTTATGGATGCACATGCCCACACTAATATAGCAAACATGGTATTTTCTTTTAACCTTATTTGCCATTTTTAAAACTGATAACTATAATTAGTTCAAATGTATGCACTGTATTTGCTCAATTAGTGGCGCATACAAATGATACAAAGGGTGTCTTTAGCAAAATTAACTCAAATTTCAATGATCTACTATCCAGTAAATGCATATTTTGGTTTGAATGGGCTTCTAATAAACTTACCGGGTATATTATAATAGAGAAAATATGGTCCAATCACTGATTTAAAATTCTTTCAAGTATTTTCATTAGTTTTATAAATGCACTGGCATGTTGTAATAGTTGAAGAACTCAAGAAATAAGAAAATATTTTTACATTAGAAAATTACCATTTAAAAGAAAAATTGATCATTATGTTGACTGCATGATGGGTCCTGAGGACAAAGGTCAAATCAGATACTGTGTCATCCATGTTGTTACAGTGTTTACCGTACGTTTTGTTTTGATGATTCTTTTGATGATTCGTTTGACTTTTCGTCAATAAAAAGCAAGTAACAAGCAAATGAACCAATAAATTGGTGTTAGTTCTTCTGTTCTTAAGTAGCTAGGCTATTTCAGGAATGATGAGGGAACTTGTTTCTACTTTTCCCATGGCGTGATTAACGCAACTGCTTGTGACAATCACTTCACGCATCTAGCCATTGTTTTTCGTTTACTTATTCGGCCAGTTGTTCCCTCCAGACATCAAATTCATTGTCCCAGTTGGCACCTATGTCACTATCTGTCTTTTACTTTTTTGTTTTATC